ATTTGAATCAAAGAAATCCTATATATATACATATATATATACATATATATAAAGGTAGGGAATGTTCCACACACTTGATTTTTGACTCATCACTATAATTTCCAATTGTCAAATTTTTTTATGGCACATAGTTTGGTTTTTAATGTAATTTCTTAAAGGGTAAAATGTATCCCTCGAAAATTTTGATTGCGGGACAGCCAAGACAACATAAAGATAAAGAAGTAGATTTGGATTGATTCGAAGTTGAATAATATCTTACAACTACCACTCATGTGCATCTAGGTTTGTTTAATAATTGTGTTTGTTTCTTACTTTATAATCAAGGGGTAAAAAAGTATTCGGTTAAAGAGTTGGAGCATTAATTATTTATGTAAAACATGAGTGTCCTAAGGGACATGATGCTGATTTATGCCGTGTATTATTCATAGAGGCACCTTCTATGAGTGTTCGTGGCACATCGTTATGTCACGACTCAGCTAAACATTATACGATAGACAATAAATTAAAACGTTCACTCTTTTTAATATTAGTTAGTAGTGTTTAATTCATTCTATCAGACATGTCACGAATGTATTTCCTTAACTGCAGGTGGAGGAAAATTTGAGTTCTATAATTTAAAACTTTTGTCTATTACGAAAATGGGTTAAATAATAAGTTTAAAAGTTTAGAATACTAAAGAAAAAGAATATTGATATAATATTATATTAAAATAATAATGGTTATTCTAAAAAAAAATACTTATAATTTAAAAAAAGAGTGGAAGTATAAGTGTTTTTTATTCATAATGGGATACGATTTGACATGACATTTATAGATACGATTCTTCGAAAAATAAAGTTCAACATATAACATATTATGCCATAGGGACAATTAATATTAAAATTAAAACTATTTGATTATTATGATATATGTCATTGATCTAATATGCATAAAGCTCGATAGTAACCAGTTCATCTATTCACATTTAGCTATCATGATGACAACTTTATGTGGGTGGCCAAAAACAAAAGCATTACCTATTATAGCATTTGAGAGGTTGATTAACAATATTGGAATGCCCCACTTTAGAGATTTCAAATGTTATCATCATCACGCTGGTAGAAAATAAGCGTTGTACTCTTTTTCTATTGATCGAGCTTTAGTCCTGCTAAGATTTTTTTTTCTCAAAAATGTGTTTAATGAAGCAACTATGATAGCATATTTAAAGAGTAATATACATTTTTCTTTAACCAAAAATTTTCACTAAATTTTCTTAATAAAATTTTAACGAGACATTCATTATTACTAGGACCCTGTTTGATCCTTATTTTTGGGGTAAAATGTATTATGGAATATTTATTTTTTGGAAAACGTGTAATTAAATATTTCCTTGCATTAGTTAAATATAGTTTACAATGGATCAAATCTTTTTTAAATTTGGTTAATATGTGGAATTGAAGCATTGTCTGCACGTGCAACCACCACGTTTACAGCTAACCCTGGTGACCCTAGCATTCATGTGCATCTATGATACTTTATAAAATGAGCATTTTTTGATAAAGAAGTTAATTTAAATATTTATTAGGTCAAGTTTTAAGAGTTTATTTTATATGCTCATGTTTAGATGCACTAGTATATGGTATAAGGCATGGCAAGTTTTCTCACATCAATATAGATTTACAACTGACATAAGAACGACCCATCTGAACCTCATTTTTAAACTCATTTTTGTCTAAACTCATTTCCAATCATACTTTCATGGAATACATAACATTTATCAACTTTTCAGTCACATATACCGTTAACATTTATCAAAATTTACTAAAAATTTGATTTTTAGCGAAACCAAATATGGCGAATTTCAGCGCTTTACAATTAAAATGTATACATATATGAAGTACTAAGAAAACCATAATACTACAGATTGAACCTTTTTTTTTCTGATTGAAAGACAACAAAAATTAAAGGATGCTAAGATTTTAGCCATATGTTGTGTACTGGTAAGTTTCTTGCCACAAAGATGTATAACCCATCTCCTCCAAGGGTAGTACCTCATAATCTTGTGAATAATCCTCAATCCCTACAAATTCTTCTGCACCATGCTCCATCAAATAATTTGTCATATAATCTGTAGTCCAACCAAAATCAAAATCAGGAGATGATGTTGAACAACTGTCCATTAGATCCATATCAAGTGATGAACAATCATCCACAAAGCTACCTTCATAAGTCTCGGGTATCGAATTATGATCTGAAATCTCTTCTTCCAGAGATTGGATTACATTTCTTAACATTTCGCCGTCTCCGTCTCCACCCTCCATCGGTGACTCAAGTAATGACTCGAGAAGGGCACCATCGATATCCGAGAACTCGATATCGTTCAAGTCAGAGAAAGNTATCCGAGAACGCGATATCGTTCATGTCAGAGAAAGAAGTCTCAATTGCTAAACTGCTAGCCATATTGCAAGATAGAAAACAAGATTGGAAGATGAGAGAATGGTATGAAAATTTAGACAGGATGCAAATTATGGAGAGAAGTTTACTATATATATAGGGAGATATTATACAACTAGCATGTGACAGTGTCCCATGATGTTCCCACTGTTCATGCACCCATACCTAATTATGAATATAATTGATGGATGAACTTACATTGGATCAAAGAAATCTTATATTTATTATTACAACTACTATTCATGTGCATCTGGGGTTGTTTAATATTTAAGTTTGTTTTGTTACTTACTTTTTAATAAAGGATTTAAAGTATTTTTTATATGAAACACTAATGTCCTAAGGTTGCCCTACAAGATGCCAACTATTACTGTGGATGCTCGATTCATAGGGCACATTCTATGCATGTTCGCCATGCAGTGCTATAAGACTCGATTCAACAGTACAATAAATAATAAATTAAAATTAAAAGAAGGGTGGAAGTAGAACCACTTTTTTATTTGTTTGCAAATTACTCTCCAATTGAGCCAGATGGTCCAGATCATGGTTTATTGTATACAGTAATTGAAAAGACAGCACACAAACATGATCTTCAAGATATGAATTATGCAAATCTTGGTGTAACAATAAAGCAAAAAGGTGATGGTGCAATGAATGTGTTGTGTGACCTAATAAAAATTAAGTGGCATAATTCATAATAATGAAAAATAATTAGACTAAAATTAAGAATGACCGAAATTTTTAGTTCAAGTTCTTAGAAGAGTTATATTATAATAATGTAACTAACATTCGATGCCGTTAAAGTCTTCATCTTTTTGTTTATAATGTCGAGACAAGTACTTGTGAGCCTGTATAACATTTAGAAATTATAAAACTCATATGTTTAATTTTCTATTTGCTACCAAATTCATGCAGGGGTTCACGGATTTTTGCAAGTTTTATGTAAAAACCTGAGCATAAATTTTCATTTTTGGAAAATTAAAATATATCTCACAATTTTCCAATATTTACGGGAACCATTAAAATTAGAGAAAATTGCTACAGTGGTCCCTAACCTTTCTAATTATTGCAGATTTTACACTACCCATCATTTTGTGCCAGCGAAGGTCACTAACCTTTTATAAATATGCAGTTGAAGTCCAAATGGATGGGATTTATCAAAATTTAATTAATTTTGACCAATTTGAAAGAGGCAAAATGGTAAGTTTAAAATTATCACATTAAATAAATAGCCCATATTTGACACCTATTTTAATCTCATTCTCATTTTCATTTTTTTTTTCTCTTTTTTCATTTCAACCACATATTCTTCAAAATAAAATAATATTACACACAAATCTAAAACTTTTCATCACTTTTCCACCACACATTCTCCCATCAATTATTATTCCAAAAATTCTATTATCATTTTAATGAGATTCAAACACACACATAATCAAAGGAAAAAATGGTTACTTCTTCACCCTAGCCCAACCCCAGCCTATCCCTCATAACTGAAAATCAATCACCAACACCGACCGACACCACAACCGGTTATATTCTTCCCCAACACCCATTCACGCCCACCCCCAAACCTCACTCAAAACCAAACCATCACTACCAAATCCACAGCCACCACCACCTCCGCTAGTATCTTCCCCACCGCCAAATGGAACCCAAATAAAAAATTAAAATCAATGAATTTGCAAAAATAGGCCTCTCCATCGTCGGCACCATCGCCCAAACCGCCCGATCTACACATCACCATAAAGCCCTCATTTCCCTCTACACATCCCACCCAACTACCAGCCCTAACATCACTTGATGTCACCGGAATAACCACCCAAAATTCCCAAATCGAAAACTCATCCTCCGATCACACCCACCGTCACGGACTATCACTGGTCGACTCCCACAATCTAAGCGTCTAGTCTGACATTTGTATTTCATCAAAAAAAGGGACAAATAATCGATGTAACTTTTGGGATTTCAAATCCCGATCTTTGGATGGGATGAGATTTGATGGTGGCAGTGTGGGACGATGGCAGGGATTTTCGGTAAGTCTTGTCGGAGAAGAAGAGACCTCATCAAATTTTGATTTAGGGGAGTGAAGTGGGGTGGAGTGGAGTGGTGTTATATATTTATTTTTATTTTTTGGATTTTAATTTAATTTTTTAACTTATTTAATATGAAGAAAATGCAAAGTACCATTTTTGCCCATTACAATTTGGTTAAAATTAATCAAATTTTGACTTTCTTGATCAACTAATGGTCCATTTGACTTCCAACTGCATATTTATGAAAGGTATATGAACATTCGTTGGCACAAAATGAAGGTTATGATAAAATCTGCAAAAATTGGAAAGGTTAGGGACTGCTGGTGCAATTTTCCATTAAAATTATCAAATACAACAAGCAGGGGCAATTCGTGTGATTCGGGAGCTTTAGCTAAAAAATTTAAAAGTAGAGAAATATGAAAATTAAACCATTAATTATTCGATAATTGGATCAATCTATGTACATAACTTTCAGTTTTTCATATGTGAGACAATTGTTTCTTGCCATAAAAGGTCATACTCGTGCTCTTCCATTCATGGAGTTCCATAGCTAATATGAGAATAATTTTTTAGTCCACCAAAGTCTGTCACTGCACCCATCTCTTGTTCATATGGATCCATGTACCAACTTGCCATGCCACCATCACATGGTGAGGAAGGATCCATCTCCAAATCCATCCATTGGAAATCGAGATCATGTAGTTTCGAGAATTCCATCTCGATTTCCAGCTCATTCACCGACTCCTCACTCGACGATTGGCACTCCACTGGACCACTCTCCCATTCGAGATTATCAAATGAATAACAATTAGTATTGTTGGGCATGATTTCGGCCTCTAGAGACCGCATCACATTTTCCAATCTTTCGTCGTCGCAATCTTCGTTTTGTGATTCATCGAGTAGAGACATAAGAACACTCTCACCAATTTCTGAATTTTCAGTATTGATAAAATAATCATACCCATCAACTGATTCCCAATTATCAGCTACCATGGAGGCCATGATCTTCAAGAAATATAGATACTACGCAAAAGAACTTACAAAGAGAAATTTCAAAGGGTAAGTGCACACATTGGCTCCTCTCATCAAGATCAAGCCCTTAAATAGGCAAATAATAAAAATGCAAATCAATGTCATATTCCAAAGACCAAATATAAGTAGGCACGTGGCCAGTGGACATCTTCTCCCTTCCGCATACAAGTATTATTTTTATTTGAATTTACTATTCTTTTTTATTGTCAAATAAAAGAAGAGAGTTCACATGTCATAACATGCATCTTAAATTCTTAATACACACTTCATCGAGGACTCTTTTCCTAGCGGCAAGTTACAACAAATGGACCACACCAATTGATTGTAAATTTTGTGAAAATAAAGTTGAATTTATTGCTGGTTCACCTAAACACGTTTAGTTGGTCATTCTTGAACGATCACGGTACGATAATAAATTTAAATAGAAGTTTAAATGAGTTTGAAGCAACCAATCATGTGCCCTAGTATTAAAACAAAGGGGCCACATCCACTTAGGAAGGACAATAAACATACATAAGATGTCTTTGTCTACCACCAAAACACTCTCGAGGGAACCAAGAAAAACTCAATTATGTATGGTCTAAACAAGTTAGCATCAAGGACAGGCACTACCTTTAAGATTATGTTAGGTCAAATAGGAGCAAAGTTAAGTGAACAATGAACTTATCACATTTAGTCACCTCTCAAAATAAAGTTGAAACTTTTTTTTTCAATACGATTAGTATTATCGAGTACTACATATTCGATATATCGTTAATCAATATGTAAGTAATCAGTTGTGCCTAACTTATCATATTACCGAATATTGTGCTCTCAGATATTAAAAATTTACGATAGGTTTAATAGTTTAGATTCATCAAATTCTATGCTATTCACGCAAAATATCCATAATACACATAATTTTAATGAATATGTAAAGTATCTAGTCATTCCAAACTTATTATAATAACAAATTAATGTTGTCTCTCTTATATTAAAAATCTACAATATGTTTAATTTATTAGTTTAAAATAGGCACCGCCGCTTCTTTAGTTTGTCTACTTTTCTTCGTTCTTTGTTATCATGTCTAGTGTTATTGAGTACTAGTGCATACTAGACATATATTAACGAATATGTAAAGTATCAAATCATATCAAACCTATCTTGCCAACGAATATTGTTCTTTCATGTTGAAAATCTACGATATGTTAAATAAATGTTCAATATGCACGCATATCGCAAAACAAGCACCATTGCTTCTTTAGTTTGTCTACTTTTTTATTAAAGAAAAACTAATTATTAGGACAAGTGATTATAGTTCATATAAAAATGAATCCCATATTAGCTAGGGATAAAGCAATATCTAGGTAGACATACAAAACTTATTAGGCTCTGTTTGATTGCAACGAATTCCACGAAAAATGTCACATCTGAGAAAAACGAATTTCATTTTGATCGTTTGATTGCAACGTGGAAATGAAAGTCGAATTTCAAGGTACAACCACTTTAAATTGGACCTAACATTTGTCCGGTGCCCAAATAAGATGCTTAAAAGCTGGATTTTTGTCCCTTTGAATAATTGAAGAATTCTTCCACTACTTATGATTAGTTGTTATTTGTGTATAATTTCAAGTTATATATAATAGGGTATCAGTCAAAGTTAGGTGTGATTACATATCTGATTTATTTTGATTATATATGAATCATAAAATCATTCGCTTCTTTATCTAAAGAACATTTGATTCTCTTAATAGAAAAAGAATCAAATCATCCTTTTTTATTAGCTCTAAGTAGGCGTCAAACTCTAAATCGAAATCTAAGTAGACTCAAGACGTGACATGCGTAGGTGATGGATGTTAGCTAGGTGGTGGACCAACTGTCAAGGCTATCCGTGATCTGTTTTTGACAATGAATGATGAGTTTGACACCTAGTATTTATATTCATTATCGAAACATGTGATGTCTTGAGTGCATGGAACGGGTCGTATCAGTTGGTCAAAATTTTAGGTTTTTTGATTTTTTTAATGCAACGAAAATTGAATGTTTGAATTCATGTAAAAATAATTCTTTTCATTAAAATTAAAAGAAAAAAAAAGTATTGAAATTTAAATTAGCCTTGTTAGCTAGCACCCATCGGGATATTTGGTGCACATGAGTTTGATTTGTACAATCCTTTTGAAGCTTTGACAGTATTGAATGGAATCCTACAGCCCGTGATGTTATCCCTTATTGCTTCCACCAATCATGTCGGCTGCCCCCAATAAAGTTCCATTATCTCAATACATTATTTAACTCAAATAATTATTTTCAAAATGTATATTTAATTATAGTTTTTATAATATATAAATAATAAAGGTTATTTCTAGTCGGAAGAGAGAACCACTAAAAAGATTTTTAATCAATATCGAACGGAGTCGTAGACAATATCTTTAGAAAAAGTCTCCACAAAATATTTTAGATAAGATACGTGAAGTGAGAAAGTTCTGAACGATAAGTCAATAACCAATCAATATTTAGCTAAAAAACATAATTTGAATATGAGAAATTTATGTCTCTATATATTAGTTTCAATAACCTAATACAACGATTGTTTAATTCCTTTACATTAAACTAAGCTAGAAAAATATTTTGAAATTGGACGATCAAAATATTTATATATAATTATTGTGGATAAGGCTATTTTATTAACTAAAAGGGTACCTTAACTTTGCTCTTCTGATAATGGATGATGAAAATTATATCGACTAGCCGGTTATGAGTCTTATGACTTATCCATGTTGCTCCACAACACCTGAATATTGTGTGGATCATCATTGGAGGCTGGACAATTGGACAGTTGGATTGCATATCGTGATCATTGGAGTTCGAGAATCAGCAAAACAGTTTGCAGAACTCATCAAATATATTATTCTAAACACAGTTTCTATCTAAATACAAAGAAGATCCATGGAAGGAATTGAAATTAGATTTATTTTTCGCTGTGCATGTTAAGTAAATTCTCAACAAAAACATCATTTGAATAAGTGAAATTTATGTGTCTATATATTAGTTTCAATAGCCTAATACAACGACTGTTTAATTCCTTTACATTAAACTAAGCTCGTAAAGTATTTTGAAATTGGACAATCAAAATATTTATATATAATTATTGTGGATAAGGCCATTTTATTAACTAAAATGTAACTTAAATTTGAATATTGAGTTGATCGGGTAGATTTTTCCTATCTTTATATTCCTGTGCAATACCATGACAGTCGTCCTGAAATCAACAAGTTTGCAAACATCGAGCATATCGAAGTCAAGAAGATGACGATGGAAAACAATTAAGAGAAAACATGTTTATAATTTTTATCGGTTACTCAATTTTGCACTTTCTTTGTAGTCCAGTGGTACAATCTAAATGAAACTAGAAATTTATTGATTTGTAATCGAATACTGGAGTTGATCTTGATAGTTTGTCGAAGTTCAACACTTTTTTCAATAAATCAACAAAAAAAAATAAAAATAAAGAGAGTTGTAATAAGAGTTAAAATTATAAAACTAGAAAGAAAATTAAACCTAATCTTGCAAAAAAATAAAATTAATTAAATGTTTTAATGCTGACGGTGCATGGAAGGGTGACAGGAATCTGAATGGTGGTGCTGATAGCTGCTGATTGCTTTATGGCTCCATCTTGTGCTCTTGCTCCACTGCTAGAATCACTATTCGGGTTTACACATATCTTCAAGTTACATCGAGTTGGTGGGGGAACGGTGCTTGTTTTGACTGGGCTTTTTACACATTTTTCGACATCAGGGCGAACTGACGAATGAATGGTACACGGTCGTTTTACACATTTCTCAACATCTCGATGCACTGATGAAAGAATGGCACCTTTCACGGCTGGACATTTTAGGTCTTTCTTGACGTCGGGGCGAGGTGGGAGGATTGTGACGGTCCATGTCACCTTCGCATGCTTCTTCTTGGGCTCATTGTTTCCGAAACAACTCGAAAGTCGATTTGCTGCAACCACAAACAATTGGAGCAAAAAATAAAAATAAAAATTGCAACGTATTGGTTCACTTTATAGAATTTAAATGCAGACATATTTGAGTGTGTTTGATTGACTTTAGTTTTCATAAAAAATGTCATTTTTTTCCACCTAAAATCCTAGTTTGAGGTGTTTGATTGACAACTTTTTCCATTGAACATATTTTCCAACTTTTGGTTACGTGATCGTATTTTCCTCAAAAATAAATAAAATATTTTTTTCTTAGAGGGGTAGTTTTTTTTCCAGATAATTCATTCTTTCTTTCTCTCTCATCTATCCGCTTCCTCCCGCACCCTAAAATATTTATATAAAATTGTGTCCATACCATAGCTCATTGATAAAACTATTACATTTTTCTTCTATTCTTATATTATTACGTAGTCATTATTCAAACGAGCAATCTCAAAAAAATTAGCTAACTTAATTAGAGATTGTTTGGTAGGTCTTTTGATTTTGTTTTTGTTTATTTTAACATGTTTATGAAAAGCTATTTTTAAATCTCAATAACAGTTTTTAACTTTTCAAAAACTTTGCCAAATGGCCTCGGAATGAATCTACGAGATAAAATCAATTATAACCTATAGCACAATGAAACCCTAAACTTTTATATATCATTTGTGATGGCAAATTGAAATAAGAAAGACTAAAATGAAAGAAAAATAAACAATAAATTGCAATTCGATATTTACCTATACCCATAATTGCTCAAGTACTTCAGCAGAAAATCCTGAAAGCGTAAAGGAGATAAATTCTATCAAACTCGATTGGTAGAGACAAATAAGTATTTAGTACGTAAAACTCGATAAGATTGATCACACTAATAGATAGAAACTCTGCAGCCACAGAGAACAAAGAATCACAATATGAACATTTCGAGTTATGCTTTCAATTAGAGGAAGAAGGGAAGAGAAGAAATACACCTGAAATTCAAAGATGTAATTTCGATATTCTTTGCTTCTTAAAAGAAAAGTGAGATATGGTATCCTTATCAATTTTAATAAAAGATTGAATTTTATTCCGTTTAGAATTCTAACATACTTCAAATTCTTATCTTAATAGGAGGATGAGAAGTCCCATTTTAATGAGAATATTTAAAATTAATATATAATCAACGCGTTTTAATAATTGTTTAAAATTAAAATAAACAACCCCCACCCCAAAAATCAGAAGAAAAAAAAAAGAAAAATTCTCGGGCCAAGATTTTGATTAATGAGATATTAAATAATATCGATAAATCGATAAGATAATAGTCTTAATCTCTATCAAACAGGGGCTATATAAATTTGTGGTCTCGTTCGTATCATAAATTGATAATTTGCTAAATAATACAAATTCAAATGACTGGCATATTTTTTGAAATATGACTTTGATTTTTTTGAACACAATTTTCCAGTCAATGATTCTTCCACCAATTAAGACTTTTAAGTGACGAAAAATTAGTCAACAACGAAATTTTGCAATGGGTAGACTGAGCTTGAATTAAAAAGAGACATGTAATAAAACTGTAAATTAAATTGTAAAATAACACATAAGAATATTAATTTCTTTTTCAACAAAAGATTCGACTCGAAATTAGCCAATTATCACAACTAGACTTGATAAATATTAATTTATTTCACTACCCGCAACATCCACCACCACAACCTCCACCACCACCGCATCCGCCGCCAGCACCGCAGCCTCCACTATCGATAGCCGCTGCTGCTGCTACTGCTCCGAGAATAACTACGCTACCATCATTTATTCCATCGCTTCTGGAATTTTGACCATTATAGACATCACGATGCGGAAGGCGAGTTTTTATCGTATTTGCCACCACAGGACGCTTCTTTTTGTCGCCCTTGATCCCGAAACAACGCAATAGTCGACTTACTACAGCCACAAAGATACAAACTATTAGTTGTTACTAGACGAAAAATAAAGACAATGAATTGAAATTTGAGACTTACGACCACCCATAGTTGACGTATTTTGCTAAACAAATCGGTTTAGCCACAATTACTACTGTCATATAGCAACCAGTAGATATAGTTTTCCTTTTCCATTTCGGTAACAGATTAATTATATTTCCTTTCTTGATGGAATTCAAATACTAATATGCTTAAAACTCTATCTGATAAATCCTATTTAAATATGAATTCCTAAAATATTTTATAATCTGGATTTATGTATTCCTAATAATCGAGAGCCAATATATAAGAACAAGTCTTTTCCTATATAAATATATATTATGGAACTAGGAATATGTTTTCCTCATTTAAGATAACCGTTATTTCAATTAGAGTAATTAAAATCAACAATTCAGAAATATTATAGTAATTTGAGACGCAATAAAATCTCATAATTGTATTTTCACCACATATGTTGCATTGCGAGCTTTTTACACCAGGTCAATTAAAATTCGAATCTCCATACTCTAACATGATTCACTAAATGTTAGGGAACTTTTTCGAACTTTCTTAATTTCGTTTGTTGCAGTTGATTGAAATCATAAAGCGTTCTACATTTGCAGAGATAACGTTAGTTCTTGATTCATTAATTTTATTAGATTAGGGAATATGCAATGTCAATATACAAGAAAGTATGTTCGAAGAAAAAAGGAGTATATTTGATTTTTTTAAAGTCGATTGATCATAAATTTGGTGCGTTACCTGGGACGATTTCAATTAGTCAAAATTTCTTCGAGTAATTGTAGTTAAGTTCTTCAAATATTGCATATTACAACCCTAAAATCTCTCTCTCTCTCTCTCTCTCAATGCTTAGTCAATTACTGAAATACATCATGTTCGGTAAAAATTGCAAATGCACTATATCGTAAAACTTGCAGCAAAGGAAATCTAAAGAATCTAGATTATTGTTTACACGAAAACCCTATTATTTATTATAGACTATCTTATGATTTATTTGAAGCAGAAAGAAGTAACAAGGAATGATTGTTACCTATTACTTTCTCAGCTAAAATTAAGTTAATTTATTAACTAGTTAATGATATGTTGATTTTTAAATCAAATGTTAGAACTCAATATTTCACCTTGACCGAAATTTTTACCTATTGAATCCAAAATTTTTACCCCCTCCATACAAATTCATGGTAAATCTCATATATTGAATCTAAAATAATTGAGAACCTCTATCAAGTAAATCCAATTCTACTTAATTAAATAAACTCAATATATCACTATTTGAATTTTAACCAAATTAAGTGCTTTGATTCACCAAAAAAATTCATTTAATGATTACAATAATCCTTAGAGTATGCTTCTATTTCTTAGATAAATTACGGATTTTTATAGTTGGTTTGAACAAATAACTCATATCTCAAACTCACTGACGTTCACAAATCAATCAACAATTGACGAGAAATAATTGAATCAAACACAATGATAAAAAAGATGCACATCCATAAATATGTCTTTAATAAATAATCAGAAACCATGGTTAGGCTCAAAACAACATCGTTTTTTTACTACGATTTAATTAGAAAACATTGTTAATAAACAAAAGCAAAAAAAAAGAAAAGAAGCTCAAAATCCCCAAATTTTGTTATTTGTTTGTGTTCTCAAAAATCTCTAAATTGCCAGCCCTAATAATGAACAACAAAATATCTTATTCATAGTGTTCTATTAAGTCCAAAAATCACGACCGAAAAGTGTCCAAATTAACTCTATGATTGATAAGTAAGAGTAAAAAAAGGATTCTAGATCATTGACTTGCGGTTGCCCAATTAACGTGGGAGGAGTCCGATGTGCTTTACAAATCTATAGACATGGCCTTGTCGGCTGCCGATGATGCTTGATGCCGCGAGGTTAAGTGGGAGGCCACACGTCCAGGAGATCCAACAGGTTAAGCAAGCTAAGTATGGAGGGAAAAATCTGTTCTTTTTCGGTTTTTCTATTGTTCTCTAGTACCTCATCGACCGCAAATTGGACCTAAAACATGCGAACACACACAACCAATAGCAATACAAACTAGACGAAATTCAAATTCATAAGTTCGATATCCTAAATAAGTGTAGAAATTACACTATCACATCCCATCAACTCCTTTCCTTTGCATTGTAACAACTATTAAACGGTCAAATGCTATGATTTTACCGACCTCATTCTTGCGATGATAAAATATGACACCACAAATGAAGAATTCAGACCCCATAAGTTTATATAAGTTTGATATTTCGAAAAATAAATATCTCTTGCTGACTATCTTTTCAGAACTAATCATTATATAAATATCCTTATTTTATGACAACCAAAACCTTGGTCGCGATTATTAAGAATTGAGGTTCATCTTAAAATGTCAATCTTTTTAAGAGGAGTAGCTCAATCCTTTATAAGTTGGTTTATATTTACATCTTTATTCGATGTGAGATTCTATCCCTTAACAACCTCCATAAGATGGTGACTCGTTTGAGGAGACTAATCTTGAAATCTGTATGCTCACTTTTGGAGTTTTAACTGAATCGAATTGCTCGTTAGAGCTTAACTTGCTCTAATACCATATTAAGATTTGGGGTTCCGTCTTAAAAAATCAACCTTATTAAGATGAGTAGCCAAATCCTTTATAAATTGGTTTATGTTTACATTTTTATTTGATGTGAGATTTTATCTCTTAACGGCGATAAGAGAACAAACTCAGATTATTGATTTAGAAAAAGAAAAAAATAAATTTTCATTGACAACTATAACTGTAGAGCTTGTTTGGGAGATTTTTTTTTTTTGAAAGGAAAACCTTCTTCTCTTTTTTTTTTTTTTTTTTGTTTGGTCTTCCATATCTTTTCGTCTGATAACATAAATGCAAAGCTCCTTCCTAAGCCGTCACACTAGCTTATAAGCTCATAAAACACCACAAATGTTAGGCTTAGAAAAAAGGGACTTATTTTTAAGACGCAGGAGATGAGCAATAAGCACGGGTATTTTACTCTCTGTCTTCATTTTCTTGTTGATTAACAC